CCTGCTCCCTGAACAGAAATTCCAGGTGCAGAATCTGGCCTCACACAGCAAATCAGTTTCAACACCATGAAACAAGAGCCAAAGAGTGTAGCTCTCTGACATTGTGGTGTTACGTTTTTTCTCTGTCTGCCAGGTGTCAATTGATAACAACACAACTATCTCCCAGCAATCTGGGCCAAATCTTTTTGCGTATCGCTTCTGTTTGTTTTTCCGGAGGAACTTTTAAGTTCATCTAGTGGTCCTCTATGTTTCCATACACTCCTAAAACCTTCAACCTTGTGACATCGATCAGCTCTGACAAACCACCTGACCCAAACCCATCCTGGGTCCCATCATCTTGTCTCTGCGGACCCTGGATTCTACCCATCACCAAGCAGCAAAGATTGACTTTTCACATGAGCCACTTTGGACTGAAACGAGGCTCGCATGGGATAATAAGGATCTGAACAAATGCCAGCTGCCTGATTTGCTTCGAACCAGTGTTGTCTTTGAGATTGTCGCTTGACTGCTCATGGAACAAAATGAAAAGACTAAATTTTCAAAATGCACTCTAAAAAAGGTTCCAAACAATTTCAGTGCAATACATGTCCTTTCCAAGTCTGAATTCTGAAGTTGCTCGAATGTCGCCTCAGGTGCATCATTAAAAGGTGTTAGTCAAGGCCAAGCCACTTGTTACTAGTAGCGATGCCAGGAGCCCCTAGTAGCTTCTTGTTCCTAGTAGTAAGGCCAGGAGCCCCTAGTAGTGTCCTTGTTACTAGTAGCGATGCCAGGAGCCCCGAGTAGCTTCTTGTTCCTAGTAGTAAGGCCAGGAGCCTCTAGTAGTGTCCTTGCCCCTAGTAGCGATGCCAGGAGCCCCTAGTAGCTTCTTGTTCCTAGTAGTAAGGCCAGGACCCCTAGTAGTGTCCTTGCCCCTAGTAGCGATGCCAGGAGCCCCTAGTAGCTTCTTGTTCCTAGTAGTAAGGCCAGGAGCCCCTAGTAGTGTCCTTGCCCCTAGTAGCGATGCCAGGAGCCCCTAGTAGCTTTTTGGTACTATCCAAGACTGGCCCCATGAGCCAATTCAAGTGGAACAAAGAACTCAAACGCTGTCCAAGTTGCCTTTAGCGACAATTCTGTAGAATTGCCCAACGGATGAGCATGTTGACGGAAAAGAATGGATCTAGTTCAAAGGAACACTTTGCAGCCTTCATTGGCACTCAATCGCGTCAACGATACGAGCTTCCTTCAGTACTGGTGTCTATCTTGGCAATCGCATATTGCAATGGATTGTTTGATATCCTTTGCCTATTTATGATTTCTTGTGTATGCGCTCAAGCCAAATCGGCATGACAAACTTGCAACTTGCCACACTGATGCGATTGGAGCTTCCTGTTGTCCTTGCATCACCCTGCTGATCAGTTTTGATGTAAAAAGTTGCAAACAAGTGCAGGTTGGCATCAACTTCAACGGGCGCCCCTCTGAGGATGCAGAAGCGCTTTCCCGCGGCATGTGACCTGTCGACCCATCCGGAAAAGCAGGTCTGCACAACGCAACGACAACGTGCAACAGTGTAGCAGCAAAAACATGACGCATTGCAAGATAACTACAAGATATCTGCAGAAAACCTGAAAATTAGACAAATTGCTACGCAGAATCGCCACACATTACACATGGGTGGAGGCCTTCAGGAAATGCAAGCCATTAGACATTCACACAGAAACCACCTCCTTCTAGAGTAAGCAATCTGTTTGAAAAGAAGCTATCGCACCTTTTTCTAGAAGTGTTTTATTGCAAACTTAGGCGCAACTACATCTCAGAAAATGCAGCTAACATTGGCTAACGCTCGTTGAATTTGCTTTGGACTGCTTTGGTCTGTCATGGTTGGAAAATGGGTGCAAAAAAGATCAAACCATGCCTCTGCTGGGGTGGAGGCTGGCACATCTCGAGCTGGTGGGGATTATGCGAAACTGCTCAAATGCTTTATCGGGCCTCGAAGACAGCCATCGCCGCGAAAACCCACTGTCATGGGAACTCAATGTGGATTGCTTTCCTGAATTGTCATGGGTCATGAAGTGTTGTTGAGTCGGAGTAGCTGCACAGCTTACCCTGCGTCCGTTGCCGACATGCCTACGATGTGGCTCAAAACTAATTCTTGATTTTTTGACACAAAGTGGCAAGCTGGTTTGCAAATCTATCTACAGACAAAAAGGCCAGGATCGTTGTCTTTGGTGCTAGTTCCCCCCTAGTCCACTGTGTTTGCTTGATGCTGCCCATGGCGATGGGGCGATCACTGTAGGGTTGTTTTTTGAGCTTGTTAGATCTCCAAGGCACTGCAAATGGATCAGTGATATGTCAGTCCAAACTAGTTGAAAACTCGGTTTCATTGATCATTAAAAACACAACTTTATTGCCAGCGGTCAAAATAGCTCTTGCGTGAATCACCCAACCAAACTGATTTTTGTCGGCAACCGATAGGACGCACACTCAGAATTCAAGGAACTCTTTGGATCCTTGGATGTTAGAGTTGTTGACATCTGAGCAGCAAAGCAGTCATCTCTGGATTTTCACATCTCGGACTCACTCAAGCAAGCACTGCTCCTGCATTGATGGTCGCCAAGTTCTCCAAGGCCACACACACAAGTCTGAGTGAAGAAATTACTGTAATCCAGAAACCAACAACCAAACCGTGGGAGCCAGACCCTGAGCGTGAGATCAATTTTTCGACTGTGGACTTTAGAGCTGAGCGGATTTGAGTTGTTCTTTCATGTTGAAGCCCAACGGTTGTTCTTCATGTTTGGTCAGTCATGTCGCGTTCACTTCTAGCATGTGGACTCTGTGGAGCTCTCGTGATCTTTCAAGTGCCGTAATTACCTCCTTCAACGTTGCACTAGTTGTCCATTTTCGTAAACAAAAGCTGCTCAAGGTTAGGACGTTCCTTCTTTAACGTGTCCTTCCACTCCACTTCATCGGTTCTCAGGTTCCTTGCTCCTATGTCCACGCTGCCTTCCTTGCTTCGCAAAATTGAGCTCGCACGTCCATTTTTTCCGTCATGCACTCAGAGTGCAAAAATGCATGGTGTTGGTTGTCGGGCCCTGTGGTCCCTCTAGTTCAAAGGCTGCCTGATAAACGCAGCCAGCTTCAGAAATTAAATACAAAGTCCTAAAGACCCTGAAGTTCATCCCTAAGCCGGATACTTGGGGGGTTCCGCGGGAGACTGTTGGAACTGGATACTTTGCTGGCTTGCTGGCTGATAAGTGCTGGCTGGCTGACGCTGGCTGATTCCGCCAAACACTTTGGTGGCTGATTCCTCCAGCCGCGGGATAGTTTGGTGGCTGAATCCACCAGCCAGGAGCCCCAGTGTCCCATCTGCGAGAGCCCATGGCGAAAGGAGCTCATGGCTGGTCCAGGAACTGCTTGAACTCAAGGGCCATTCCTTGCACCTTGCCAACAATCCTCCGGAAACATGTCTAGGCTCTGCACCAGGACCGGTTTCCAATACGTACTCAGCGTGTCCGAAGGTTCCTGCTCATCTGCCTGGATCACCGCAGCCTCCTTGTCAGATTCCCGGTTCAGCTCTTCCAACCTAAGCCCTAATGTGTTCGCACTACAGGCTTTCAAACTTCTCAACAGTGCAGCTCCACACAAGATTCACTTCACCAGTTAAATCTCCCCGTATTTAGGTGTCATGTTGTGTACATAAGTCTTGCACATCCAAGCTGAGTGCAGATCTAATACCTTTGTTCACTCATTGTAGCTGCGTGTTTGATGTGTTTGGCTTAACCCTAAACTGCAATCCCAGTGAAGCACTGTTCCTCAAGTCTTAGAAAAAAAAACATTTGAACTCCGACAGTTGTCATAGATAACACCGTACGTTTCATTCACGGGTGACTCAGCTGCAGCTGTAACTAACTCTCCAGTGTCACCCACCAAATACAGATTGCATCTCCTCCATGAGGCTCCTCCAGGATCGGCCTCAAAAGAAGAGTTTGATAGGATAAGAGAATCAGTACGTACAGTGTTATATATAGGTCAAATTGCTTGTTCCCAAACCTGCTTCTCGTCTCAAATGTCCGGTCTTCTCCAAATGCTCGCGACAAGCCTTGGAGACTGTCAAACATACCTAGAGACACTCTCGATCTCTCTTGCTTCATTGGCCTTGAAACTTGGCATCAAAACGAGAACCCCCCAATTCTCAGCTTAGCATTGATGCATGTGTGTGTGGTGGAGCTTAGACACCAAAACAAGACCTTCACGCGAACCTCAGTGAGCTTTCGCGCTTTCAAGGAGTGTTTGTGCGACGGTTGGGTTCTTTAGTGGCCCCAGCCCTTGCTCGATTGCTTTCACGGTGCAATTGGTCGACGTCTTTTACAGAAATTGCTTCGGGGTGGCGACTCTTGCAGAGTTGGTTGCTTGCATGAGGCGAGAGCTTTTTGTCCTGCACAGATCCCTACACAGCACGTGGATGAGTTCCACATATCCAAATTCTGTCACCTCAGCCTGGAAAATACTAGCACGAGTTGAAATGGGGACTTTGTCTCTAACTGCTCACCAAAAATGATAAGGCAACAACTTTCGCACGGGCAAAGACCTGTCAAACGCGAGTTCAAAGCACCTTTGAAGTGGCAAAACCCTTAGAACAACCCTAATGAATGCTCGATTGAATCTCCTCACGTTTGAAGCTGATGTGCCAAACAAGTGTATAGAAACGGAGTTGAGAAGTTTGTGTAAAATATAAATGTGTCCAAATGGCCTCCTGGCAGATGGGACATTGAAATTTTGCAGCAGGAGCTTTCCTAGCATTACGCATCACTGAATACCGTGTACAATTCTTGTCAAATCTCTCTGGACCCGTGGGATCCTGCCAAACTTGCAAGTGCGGCCACTTCCGCGCATACCTTGCCTCTGCCACAGCAGGGTCAGTGCAAAATTCCTCAACTCAAGAGTTCGTGTTCAAACAGTACAAATGAAAGAGAAGCACCATGAAGCACCTGCCCAAGTCGTTTCACTGTGATTTGATCGCAAAATCAGCACGAAGCCAATGGCCGCAGGAAGTCCACCAAACGGGTCTCCTTCATCTGGACTCCGCGAACGCAACATTCATTTTTGTGGGGAAAGATTGCAATTCGTATATATAGATCGTACTAGTATCAGTATGGGTCAGAGTTTATCAGTACAGAATGTCTGCAGCATTCTGCAGCTGCTGACGGCTACAAGAAATCATCCCACACAAGTGGTCTTGAATCAGTGAGTTGCTAATTTTATCTAATTTTGCTTGCAATCACAATGTAGTCTCGGCCCCAAAAAAACATGTTGGGAACATGTTTTTTGCACCCTAGAGTCAAGTGTGTGGCAAAACAACAGCGCGGCCACTATCAGTATGTGTCGCAATATGGATTCGGTACTTGATGATGTGTTTCCACCTGCTTTCAGTATCTTTCAGTGACATGTCCAGCTTGTGCGCTGGACGAGCCACACTTTTTTTGAAGCGCCATCATGCCTCAATGCTCTAGTGACTCTACTGTATGCAGTACATTGGCCCGACCTGAAATTTGGCGAACAATGTTGCAATGCGTATGTAGATCTGAGTCTGGAGTTGACACATGACATGACATGCATGGCAAGCCATGAGCACTCAGGCACCAAGATTGATGATCAATGGGTTTCATGACGCTTTTCCCCAAAACCTTTTGCATGTCGCTCCACAACTTGTACGGCTCCTCTCCAGTCAGCAGGACTTCGGCTCGAGCTGCCTCCTTCTGATAAGCAGCAAGCAAAACCCTTTGATTTATGTTTGATCTAAATCCCCACACCCCAGCCCAACACACGCAAAAGGTACGTATTAAACAAAATCACCACCACTACCCACGAGGTTTGCAATGACTACAACAAAGGCCAGTGTCACCTTCAAAACAAAAGTGTATATGATATGATACAATGAAAAGTTCCCGTGCACCGGCACTCGAGACTTGAAAATTCAATATCGCCCCGCCACACACGAATCTTGCAGTACAGGGAAATTTGAGCCAGGGTCTACAAACGACACTTTTTCGTGGATTTTGGCTTCGGTTGGGGCTTCGTCTTGGCTTCGTTTTGAGACACCACATTTCATACGCTCCAAACCCTCAAGAAAAAGATCATCGAAAGCAACCGCTCTGCAGGAAAAACAAGACAGCTGCGATCCAAGGGCTTCCCAGCTTCAACTTTCTAGCTTCAACTTTGGAAAGTCACAGGCAACTAGACACGGACAAGCCTCAGTGTATCTCAGTGTGACTTTACAATGGGAAGTACAGCAAAGTGCACTACCCCTTCTTCACTGAGCCCAGTACTTCTCAAAAAAGGATACACATGCAAACATCCCACCTAGAGGCTTCGTTTTTGGTTTTCTGGCTTCGTTTTCCAAGGAATGTGCAAGATCTCACCCCAAATGATCCATTTTATACAAAAACTCAACACTAGGTTTTTGGCGGTGGCTCATATATTGTCTCCAAAAGGAGGATAAATTCATCCAGAGAACCATGGAGCTAGGACTAAACACCAAGCACCAAAGGTGAAAAATATCAAAGAGTTTGCGCATCAGCAATTTGGTGTCAAATATATTTTTTGAATCGATCGATCAAGTACTTGTCGTTTTGAGAAGACCTACTATATATATATACACATAATTATACATATATAACTTCAATATACAACAATATACAACAAGTTTCAGTATGAACACAGTGGAGATCCAAAGAGGAGCGCCATTCAGTGGCAAGTTCAGCAAACACGCACATTCAAGAATCCAACCAACAAGGTGCCCCTGAAGGGGGAACTTTTCCAGTCCAATAGATAGGATTCTTTGTAGAATAGAATACTGAACAACTTGTCTTGTGAATGAATCTGACTGAAATCCACATCGGCAAAAAATAACGTCCTTCATTCTAGTTCTGCGCTTCTTGCCTCTGGCCTGGGCTTCCGTCATGTTGCGTAGGGCCATTTCAAACTTCCATTCGGTCAGTCGTTGTCAGAAGCTGGCACTGAAAAATACTTGGGTCTAGACAACGGATTCCTGCACAAGTTGGTTGCTTCACATCACAGGACTGAGCACAAAGTAAGTGCAAATAATCAGCCTTGGAGAGAACATCAGACTGCTTGCTTGCCAACAAGGATCTAGGCCAACTGCCTGAAATTTCATCCCGTGGTCGATGCTGAAGTTTAGCCTCTCTGACACCTGCTTGTTTGAGATTGTGCATGGGCCAACCAAGTGAGGCTTCAATTCTCCTCTACACCTTTTGGAAGCATCTGCCCTGAACTATTGATTCAAAAGAGACATCCATCATGCATCCGCTTTTTGGCCACAGTACCATCGTAGAGCCTCTGAAACAACCTCCAGCAGCTTGTCCAAGGCCTCCTCAGGATTGCCGTTAGACCTTCACACAGTCAGGAGTCAGCGTGTTCGAATGTTTGTAGGAAATCCGGTGAAGTCCTGCGAAGTCGGTGATGTTTCTCTTTGACAAGACTTTCGTCATCGGCCTCGTCCCTGGAAGCTTTCTCATCTGGCCCTTATTCAATATACGACCGGCCGAGTGAAGAGTTTCCCCAACATGAAACTAAGCTGTAACATGCTGTAACCATATCATTAGCTCAAACAATCTACACCGTGTACAGCAGGACAGCTTGCTGTCACTTTCTGAGCACTTTTGCCGCTGCATCTTTAGCTGGCCTCAAGCTCTGACAAGATCTGACATTATCGTTGATGCAAGTTGCAAGTTTCCCAATAATTCTAGGAACCAAAGCAATCAAGCGAGGGGTTCTTCCCTGAAAAAGCCTGAGCTCCACTGCGTCCAAGCTACTAGTATCTACTAGTACCCCTTACTACTACAAGTAGGTACTTATATATATAATTAAGCTTCTTCACGGCCTTCCCCCTCCACCCTTCAAAAAGAGAACGTGCAGTTTTTCTTGTTTTTTTCAAGTATATATCTGTGCAGGTAGACCCAAAATGAACCAGCAGGTCCCTCTTAGAAGTGACCACCCGTCGTCAAAAAGGAGAAATGTCCGATGGCTGTCAAACGTCTTGTTATATTTGTCTTTGCTGCATTTTGCTGCCACATTAGATATCGTCCCAGCTCTAAGCCACAAACTCAAGTAAAGATGCTCTAATGCTTTCTCGCACTGCTTGCAAAGCCTGCAGTACATCAAGTTTGCTCATCACTGCAGTCGCCGGGTGGCCAAACAGAAGGGTTCCGACTGCTTCCATAATATACTCAACCATGGATGGCTTCTAATAGGTTCATACTCCTTGATATGCCAACTTGACGTCTTTTTCATCTTTCTCCGACGAACCTGCCTCCAAGGCGTTTGAAGCCAGCACCCCTCCGCCTTCACCTCGTTCATCACCCAGAAGGCTGATCTCCCATCCCGAAATCTGAGCACAGAATGCAAGAGGAAAACAGAGTAGGCCTCCAACCTAATTATGAAATGAATGATGCAATGAAACACATCAAGTACCAATGTCCTCTTGGCCTTCGGGCCTTCACGGCCAGAATGTGCTCTGCAAACGAGGGAGAGTCACCTTCCCAAATTTGCTATATTATTTTGAAAAGGTCTTGCGAAGGCCGCAAGGGTCGCCTGCTGTGCCAGGGCCGAGTTGCGCTGACATAAAGGTTCTCTCAGGACCTAGTGCAAAATATGAGAAGCTGCATCACAGGTCAGAGGTAATTCCCATTCAGCATCACAAAGGATTCCGTTTGAGAAGTTAATACCTGAAAATAGAATAGCAACTCGCTGCACATTCTCTGCTTGTATGCTTATGGAACACCCTCCAACACCTGCCTCGCCTGCGCATTGATGTTCGGATAATTCTAAGCTGGACACAAAGCGCTGTGATTGCAAAAAGGATTTCAACCTCAATTCGCCAAAGCTCTGTCGGTACAAAAACTGTTGACGGCCATGTAACATGTACCTCAAAGCTCCCATGGCTTCTGAGCGCGTTGCTGCTCTAAAAATTGTCACGCCATTTACCCGGACTGAACTCCTGTGTCATACGCAAACTTGCAGTTCAATAAATTGGTCTTAGAACAAAATTCCAGTGTGAACGACACCGCCGGAGAACACGCTTTTTTTCCGTGCAGATTCTACATAGCGTCTCTTTGTATATTGTGAAATGCTAGCACAACAGATTGAACAACATGAAACTCACGAAACCTTCCTGGAACCAAGAAGTTGCATGCTCGCTGCAGTGCCTCAGTTCAGTTGTGAGTTTAAGAAATTCAGGACTATGTGTGTTCACCGTGAAGTTTGCATTGTCCGTATCACACAACGGCCTTTCCATGTGTTTTTCTCGGTGGGCGACAGAAAAAAGTCGTCGCCCGCATTGACATGACATGGGAAGCCTTGAAGACCGAAATGCGCCGCGCAGAAAAACTCCACATGCCCAGCTGTGCTCAGCTCTTCACCAACGGGATTTCGGGCTTCCAGTACCCCGCGGATTTGCTGTTGTCGTTCCTCCACAGAAATAAAGGCAAAAGGCATGAAACATGCTGTTCTTCATTGCATATTATCTTTTCTTTCAGTATCTTTCCCCGACCTCTTCAGATGATGTGCTCCGCTCTGGAAGGAAGAAACTGAGTTGGTACGGGGAGCTGGGCCGAGCCTGATGTAAGTGATGAGAAATTGGTTCATCTCATGAGGCATGAAATGTCAATAACATCTGACACAATCTCAGTCGGCTCCATGATGTCCATCTTCCACCAAGCTGAGCCACCACCAAATCACCATCGAAATCGATGAAGAAAGCCCCCATACTAAACCTTCGCGCAGTGCGCGTTGCCAAAATGGGCAGTAAAGTGATAGGACACAATTACAAAAATACTTGACAAAAGTTGCACAGGCAAGCAGGTATTCAGAATGCAGTGGCGCTTTGTCGGTGGACCCGTCAACATACTGCCTGACGTATGAACTGGCATGCGGCATATGTCTCAGTGGGCGCTGGCGCTTCTATTTGGACCCTGTTGCATCCTTGCATTTGGTGCATTGTTCTGACATGTGCACGACCTGTCAGAGCTGCGGATTGTTTGCCTCACTGCCAGGGCTGCGCTTGGGTGATTGCACTTGCAATTTGTGAGTCACCTTGGGAAGGACAATCCTGTACGCGCTGTCACGGCTGCGCATTGACAAGTTGAGTTGCCAGTTTATTATATAGTCACAGGAATCAAAGAATCCTTTACGCACTGTGAGGGCTGGGCAAGAAACATTGAGGCTTCACTTCGTTGGTCTGTGACAGTGGGTGGGGACATGTGGGACACTTCCGCCCACCGGCTCTGCCGGATGATTGCCTTGGATTTCTATGCACTGTTCCTTTTGTCGGTAGAAACAAAATATGTAATATGAAAATGAAGAACTTTGAGCCTTCGGTAAATCTTTCGCGAAAAAAAACTATCAATTTTCGCGAACATCATCGCGGATCTTTTGCAAATGGTTGGACAACAACATTTAGATTTTGTTTAACCCCTTACACACCCCTTTAGGTCAACTCCATTCAACTCTCACATATGTGCTGACACATTTGCTGGCATGTCTGTCGTCTGACATCATTTCTTGGCAATTGCAACGAAAGGCCACCTGTCTCGACGTACTGTTGTGGCAGGTTGTATGGAAGCTCGCAATGCATGATCTGACATATTCCGTGACCTATTTTCTGGCATACTACCTGGCAACTTGTTGCGGCATGTTTTGGGCGCGTTATCTGACACAGTACATTAGAGCGCGTCGGCACAGGGGGCCGGTAAATCTGTGGTCCCAGTCCAGTTGAACCCGGTTGACATTCTGTGAGGACCGTGCTTCAACTGGGCCAACTGGGACCATTGGCTCTGATGGAGACGGTGTCTTACCTGGAGCCATTGGTTCGCATGGGGGCAACCCGTTGGAGGAAAGGATCCCAGCCAAGGTCAACGACACGGGACGTCTGGTGTTGAGTGTGCTTTTCTACTGGTCCAATCAACACGGGACGTCTGGTGTTGAGCTTGGTTTCTGATGGTTAGATAATGCTTTTCCCCACGTGTCGGGTGAGGGTTGTTAGATTTTACGTCAGCCCCATCTCCTCCGCCTCCTCCTCCGCCTCCGCCTCTTTTTTTTGTCCTCCGCCTCCCCCGCCGGACCTCAACCACGACCATCCACGCCCAGTGTTCCCTGCCGCACCTCAACCACGACCATCCGCGCCCAGTGTTCAACCGCGAGCTCCGGGCCCGAGTGTTCCCTGCCGGACCTCAACCACAGCACACAACCACAACCACAATCACAAACACACAACCACAAACACAACAACAAACACACAACCGCAAACACAACACCAAACGCAACCACAAACACACGACCACAAACACAACACCACAAACACACAACCGCAAACACACAACCACAAACACACAACCGCAAACACACAACCACAACCGCAAACACATCCACAAACACACAACCCCAAACACATCCACAAACACACAATTACAAAGACACAACCACAACCACAACTACAAACACGCAATCACAGTCACTACCAGTACCACAAACGCAATCACAAACACACAGCCACAAACACAATCACTCACAAACACACAGCTACAAACACAATCACAAACACACAGCCACAAACACAACCGCAAACACATCCACAAACACACATTCACAAACACACAGCCACAACACACACACAACCACAAACACACAACCACAAACACACAACCACAAACACACAACAACAAACACACAACAACAAACACACAACAACAAACACGCAACCACCAACACACAACCACAGCCACAATCACAAATACGCAGTGACACGCACACCACAACCACAGCCACAACGACAAAGACGCAACCACAAGCACACCCACAAACATAATCACAAACGCAACCACAAACACACAACCACAAACAAAATCACAAACACACAACCACAAACACAACCACAGTCACAATCACAAACACGCAACGACAAGCGCACAACCACAAACACAACCACAGCCACAACGACAAAGGCGCAACCACAAGCACAACCACAAACACAATCACAAGCGCAACCACAAACACGCAACCACTACCACTACCACTACCACTACAACTACGACTACTACTACTACTACTACTACTACTACTTTCTACTTCTACTTCTACTTCTACCTCTACTACTACTACTCCTCCTCCTCTACTACTACTCCTCTACTACTACTACTACCACTACTACTACTACTACTACTACTACTGCTACGACTACCACTGCCACTGCCACTGCCACTGCCACTGCTACTACTACTACTACTACTACTGCCACTACTACTAGTACCACTACTACTACTAGGTTGGGAAGTTTCCAAGGTTCGGGCCCCGAAGGTCGGGCCCCGAACTGTGCGCTGCTATTGCGACTACTACCGCAGTGCTACGACGACGACGACTACTAATAGTGCTCGGGCCCCGGAAGTTTCCCAGTTTTGGGCCGCCCAGTACGGCTACTACTGAAATGATCTGAATTGAAAAGTAAGCTGGGCACAGGTCCCCTGATGAAAGCATTCGCTTCGGACAAAACAGTAAGACTTGACGCTGAAGGACTTGTGCTATGGGCTGAAATACACAGCGAGGGTGATGTCAACGTGGCTGTTTTGAAATGTCATGGTGGGGATCACTCGAAATGAAGTAATTATACCTCAATGTTGCTTGTGCATAGTCTTCGCTTGAGGTCCAGGCAGTTCTCGACTCATTTGAGGAACGGCTGCCAACCAATATCAACACGGGACGTCTGATGTTTAGCTTGGTTTTTGCATCGTGCGTCGGAGCCGAATATACCAATATGGTAAAAAAGGATCACAACTTCCCCTCCCTCTCTCTGACGTTATCGACATTCTTCTCGAGAAATGTATAAAAAAATGCTTACATTCTCACGCGGCAGCAGCAGCAGGAGGAGGAGGAGGAAGAGGAGTAGGAGTAGGAGTAGGAGTAGCAGTAGTAGCAGTACTAGTAGTAGTAGGTCGCGGTGGTGGTGGTGATAGTAGTGGTGGTGGACCCGGTGGACCTGACCCAGTTGAACCCAGTTGACACGTAGTAGTAGCAGTAGCAGTAGCAGTAGTAGTAGCAGCTTCTTTAGCTTGTCGGGGTCAACTGGGTCAACTGGCTCTGGAGATTTAGCATGGCCCCCTATGTGGTCGCAATGGTATATAAGCCACTAGGCCCCATCTCCCAAATTAATATGGTCTGCAGGATAGGTTCGGTAGAAGAATCTACTAAACTAGCCACGGAGCTACCGCCGAACTCCAATCAAAACACCTCAAAACCACCCTTGCATACACTGACCCCTTCACACACTTCAGCAGAACAAACTTATATGGACGCGGCGACACACGGTAGTTTGGCTGTTTCTCGTGTTCTTCTTGCAAAAGTCAAGAATTGAGCATCTACGAGCTAGGCAAGATATTAGCTGCAGTTGCAGCCAAGTAGCAAGTAGCTGGAAGCAAAATCTGGGACAGTATGGCAGTGCTTGCTTTAGCAGTGGTAGAAGCAGCATCTACACCCGTAGCAACAGGAACAGTCTCGCACTTGTTCTTGTTCTCTGCGCTGTTCCCGTTGCTTTTGTCACGTTTCACACGAGCACCTTTCAAGCTTGGCACATGACGAGTGAGAGATGCTTGCGGAAGGCGTGGCACCATCCAGTGTAGGAGGCTTGGCAATCGCAGGCCCGGGCAGGTCAAGCCTCAGACCCACATGCAGTCCGAAAGCGAGAGACAGAGAGAGAAAGAAAGAGCTAGAGAGCTAAGAGAAAGAAAATGGAACTGAGATTTAGAAAAGACATTAAAAAACGAGCCGTGAAAAGCCAACACCGTCTCGGGGTCAAGCTCCTTGACAATTTCCGGCGGAAAGCAAACCTCAAACTCAGAAACGTGATAAAACCCCGCGTGAGCTTGTAGCTGCTGTAGCTGCTCGACAAAATTGAGGCTTTAGCAGCTGCGAATTCTGAATCTTTGCCCTGAGGAAGGCTGGCATATGCTGCCGTCTCTGGGAATGCACACTGACGGCTGTTTGACATGTGGTCAAGGGATGTCAAGGGTGTGGTCCTTGCAGGTCACGTGTTGTGGGGTCCGACCAGCGAGCTTCTTCATGACATCTGGCAACCTGAGAGAATGCCGGTCGGATTCTGAAAAATATTGAAGGGTCCTTAAGGAGTCCTGGAGGAGCTATTAGGTTGGAGACCATCACTATTAGGTTGGAGACCATCACTATTAGGTTGGAGGCCAGCGCCTCTTCATGTTGACACTTCCAGCGGCATCCTGCAGTGTGCTGGAAATGGACGCATCAGGGTCAGTCATCACAGCAAGAGCCGTCGCTGTATGTTAAGCCAAGTTGGTTTTCAGAACGTTTTAAGCGCTCCTTTGCAATGAATGTTCAAACAACGCTCAAGATCGCAAATGCTTGCTGTTCAACCCAAGATCAGTCCCCAACACAACATTTCGCGGAGCCACCTGGGCGGACTTTCGCAGCTTGGCCACCACGACTCGCTTGTGGACCATCCGCCCTTTAAGTGGCAAGGAGTTGACTGCTGAAATCATCTCATCACGAGCCTCAGGATTGGGAGTGATATGGAGAGCTTAAGACAGAGTATTTTGTGTTTTGTTCTTTCCTGGAAGCATTGAAAAGGTGCTCTTATTTGCTGAGGATGTCTAACGGTGTCCGCAGATTTCTGTGTGATTGAAGCATGTGAAGCCTTGAATTGTTAAGGCTTTGTATTTTGGTTTGCTCAGTTGGGCAAGGACACTGACACTGTGTGAGGATTGCATAGCGACCCACCTCTCCCTTTTCCCCTTTATCGACAAAGCCATGTATCTGCTTCATTCAATGAAACCATCTTGAAAGCAAGACCTGCCTGTTTCCATGTCAACCGTATCTGCTCATCTTCGCCTCATCACATATTTGCAAATTAAAATCTGCAGAATGGTCAAACATAAACATAAACAAATAAACAATTACTAGTAGTGGACAATCGCAATTGCCCATGTCAGATTGCATTGCTTAATTCATCTTAGTTCCATCTATATAGGTGCATCTGATTGCATCTGAGGTATCGGTGATAGGGGGTCCCTATCAGTTCCCAAGGTTTGCACCATGCCCTCACAACAAAACTGTTCGTTCACGTGTTTTTTTGGTTGCTCATATGGGGCGTGTAGGTCATACCGGAGCGATTGCGATAGTGCAAACTGTGCAAACTCCACTGCAGCACAGCTGGCTTGCAAAACTGCTCCGGGATGTTTGTGTTCCGAAAGGATCCCATGTGCAATCTTGGAGTTTGGAAACAGTATTCTATCTTATTCTATCTAGTCTGAACCATCTTGATTCATTCATGGGTCGCAGTATCTCTTTGTATATTGATAATGAAAACAAGAAATTGAGTGAGCATAACAAGAGTACCTCCTTTGTGAAGAAAACAAACAGCCTTGTCTAAGGCTAAGGTGAGCACTACGGCTCACTGCGGGGACGTACAGGGACTGTCAGCCATTTCTGGGGATTCCAGCGGTCTTGAAAGCTGATATCCATCGAGTAAACTCACCGGTGTTGGACTGTCTAGTGATAAGACGCGTAACACTCTCTCCTTTCACAACTTCATAGGCGCTAGGGGGGTGGTCAAAAGGGGGGCGGCAAATAAAAACAAAATATCGATGCTGTTCAAGAGGCTGCAGTGAACAAAACAAGGGGATTGAAAACCAATAGGGCTTATAAAGGCTTGCATGTTGCTTGTTAATAGGAGTATCTCATATTTGTCTTTTTTAGGGCCTCTGTTCACATCAAAGTATATATGTTTTATCGATTTTGTTTAACTCCAGCAGTGGGAACCAGCGAGAATTATATAATCAGTACCAGCTGTTTACCAGAAGCTTTGGCTCTGACAGTCCTGCAAAACGAGACATGGGAAGAATCACATTCTCAAACCAACTTAATTAACCCCACAATGACCTGTACATACATGCACTGCAGATACCTGTAGCATCAGCAGTCAGCAAGAGTAAAATACATAGGGGTTAGAGTTGTTTCGGCCAAACGATGTCAACTATGACAAACATGCTTTCAGCAGCCGCAACTGCCAAATGGTAGAATCGCACGTCTGGCTGCTGCGAACAAGTTTGGGTCTTGCAGACTCTTTCACGTGGACAAGGATGAGTTAGAGTGGCCAAGAAAAGCTAGCCACGCGCAAACAGAGAGGAATGTGGGCAAGGTAGCTTCCCACATATGGACCTTCTCAGGCCCAAAGGGTTGGAAGAAAAAATTAACATCATTGGGAGCAGTGACAATTTCACATTCCAAGATTTGGCCTGCAAAAATGGCAAGGAACCACAGTTGTTGGAGGCCGTCGGCAAACTTGAAGAGAAAGAGCAAGGGAATTTTAGAGATGCCGTGCATCATTGCTCGAAACTCTCGGAAAAGAAACACAGAGAAGAATTGCAGAACAAAAGACCAAAAACAAACCCTGAAGTTGAGGGGTCAACAGAGATGCCTGGAGCCTCAGGGAAGCCATCGTTGTCAACCCCTGTGGGAGCTCCAGCTGAGGTTGCTGCTAGTGCAGCAAATGACACTATATCAACCTCGAGCGGATAGCCTTGACTTGATGTTGTTACTAGTAGCTTCTAGCTACTAGTAGCGATGCCCTTGCTTCCAGGAGCAATTCAAAGATTCTTTTGAATCCGGGGCCAGCCAGCCTCTTCCAGCAGAGGTCCTTCAGACACGACTTCTTTGCCTCCTGCGCGTGAGAAGGTTCCTGGTTTGCGTGGGGATACAACACGATACAACCAAGAGAGCAGTAGCAGCAGTGAAACGACCAGCGCCAGCAGAAATTGCTTCTATATTTCCCAAAGCACTTGGACTTTACATCAGTTCCCAAATGACAAACGCAGTACCATTGAATTCGCCAGCTTGATGGGCTCAGGACTCCAAAGGACAAAACAAGAAACTTGGCCACCATATTGTGGAGTCGGGCCGAAAGAGTCTGCCGTCCGCACTGTGCTGGAATTCGTTCAGCTCGCATTCCCTCAAGGGAAATGATCCATGAGAAGGTTACGGCTTTGCAAACTACGGAAATACATGAGAAAGGTCGTTAAGTTTGAAAGGAGAGAAGCAGTTTCACCACAATACAGAACTCGAAAACCGAGCAAAGAAAAGGCGAAGGATGTTGCGCACAGTCATTTCTTCTCACTCGAGTTGTTCTCTTCTCCTCGGTTCTACTTGATGAACCTTGATTGAGATGTTCCATTTTGCTACCTGCCTTTTCTCTCCTCCAAGTAGGATCCTATGACAATTGGAATGTTGCTTTGCTCCAAGTGTTTGCACATGGTGTCGTTTGGATCCTTGAAGGCTTGAAGATCTGGCTGTGAATGGACCAATACACATGCAACGCATAAAAATGTCTGTGTAGGTGCTTGCTGGTGATATCAGCGATATCAAATATATCAATATATATATATATTATATGTTATACATGAGGCTTGTTTTGCCTGTGGTCAGCCCGGTACTGCAAGCTCAACCCATATTATGTCTGTGTTTAAAGGCCCTTGAGACTTACACAAATGAAACATTATAAAGCCTCGTGTGATACTAAGATATGGGAGGCGCATAAACAAATGGAGAAATCCAAAATCTAAAATCCAGGAGACATGTCTGGCGAGCGTTGCGCAAACACTTGCGAACAGCAACGCTACTCCAGCTACGAGGCCTGTCGGGACTTCATCGTCTTCGAGATCCTCTGTGGGCAAAGCGGCTCAATTACTTTCCAGGTTCTATGTCTAATAGCAGCCCTCATAGCGATGGACTCCAACCAAATAGCGATGGCCTCCAACCTGAAACCTATGGCCTCAACCCACTAGCGATGGCCTCCAACCTAATAGTGATGGCCTCCAATCTACTAGCGATTTCCTCCAACCTAATAGCAATGGCCTCCAACCTATTAGCAATGGCCTCTAACTCTAACCTAATAGCGAGCCTCCAACCTAATAGCGATGGCCTCCAACCTACTTGCGATGGGCTCCAAACTGATAGCGATGGCCTCCAACCTAAGGCCTCTAGCCTCGATGGCCTCCAACCGAATAGAAATATAGCATCCAACCTCATAGCGATGGCCTCCAGCCTCTAACCCAATAGCAATGGCCTCCAACCTAATGGCAATGGCCTCCCACCTAATACAGTAGCGATGGCCCCCAAACCAAATAGCGATGGCCTCGAACTTGAGTCTTGGAGGGAAAAACCATTGCATACATAATCATAAATCGAATTGCAGTCTTACCCTCCACTGTAGACAGAGTGATTGTAGATCAAAACTTGAGCTGTCCTCAGGCGCCTCCTCGTCATCATCTAGGCCCAATTCCTCCTCATCGATCTTGTCAATTGCAGCCAACTCTTCCTCCAAGTCAAAGCCATCTTCAGCATCATCACGCTCAGTTTCATCGGATGGGTGGCCAAATGCCTGCGCCTTCAATCTGTTCAGGAAGAAAAGAAGCTATACACCCTTTTCAAAATTGATGGCTCGATCTGGAACAAGCAAATGGCACCAGAAACTGCCAAAAACGCACCCGGAAAACCGTTATTAAAAAACAATATACATATACATATATATATATACAGTATACATGTTCAAGCAGAGTAAATTGCTTTCCACCCATTCACAGAGTAGACTTGCACCATCTTCTGCAAAGAAAAGTCTGATAATGTAGTATAAGATGTCGATTTTGGTAGACCACCTCTCTTTCCAGCGAGGGCTTCTTCATGACCTTCTTTTTGCTGTGCCTTTCCTTCATTAACTTCTCCTTTCCCTCTCCTTCCCTTGCCTTGCCTTCCCTTTCCCTTTCCCTGCACTGCACTGCACTTGCATTTCAATCTCCATTGACCTATTGTCAGAACGGTGCACGATAATAGCCAAGTAAATGGCGCAGCCCTTGTGTGAAACGATGTTAATGATGGTTGAGCCAATAGCTGGCGGAACTCATTTCCATCTCCTTCCCGTTCCCTCTTGTTTCATACCCTGTCCCTTTCTTTTTAATATCCCTTTTGTTTCCTTTCCTTCACTTCTCCTTTCCCTTCCTTTCCCCTTCCTCGTCTTTACTGTTCTTTCCGTCTATTTCCTTCTCCTCTGTTTTTTGCTTCCTTTCCTTTCCTCACCTTTTCTTTCCTTTCCTATCCTTTCCCTCTCCTCTCCTTTTTCAAGCCTTTTTCTTTCCTTTCCTTCACTTCTCCTTTCCTCTCCTTCCCTTCCCATTCCTTTGCCCTTTTCTTCCCTCTTTTCCTTGAGCCACTCTCCAAAAAACAGTGTTGCCGCTTGCACCATCTATGGCGCCCTTTGCCTGTCCTTCTTCTTTCCTTTCCTTCACTTCTCCTTTCCGTCTCCATCCTTTCCTTTTTGGTTAAACACATCATTGGAAAGGTGGCTTGCGCCATCTAATGTCATGCTTGCTGCTTTCAGGGCCAAAAAATGTCAAAGCGGTTTCTCACAAAACGGAATGTAAAAGTAGATGGCGCCAAAAGCATGGCAATGCGTCCCCGACATGTTATTTTCCCTTTCGTTGTCACGGTTTTTCGCCTAACATGGCTTGCGCCATCTGCATCTGGGTTTTTGCATTCCAGAGGCTTTTTTCCTGCACAGTAATTAGATGGCTCATTGCAACAACTTAAGCCATGTCTTTTTGGAACGGAGCATATTTATAAGAACATATTTATATAAATGCACCAAGGACCAAGCATAATACAACATATTGCAAGAATGTGACAGCCTAAACTCCAAAAATCACCGTCAAACAAACTGCATGCGTTGGCACAAAAATGCGCAGAATAACCACAAACAAACTTCAACGTGACCTGTTGGCACAGGCAAAAGTTGTAGGTCAAAGCCACCCAAAGGTACCGCAACATACTACCCAACTCACCTCTGGCGGAGGCGCAATTAATCATCTTTCGCAGGCGCAGCACTTCGGACTTGCCAGGGAATCATTTTTACATGGCTAATGTCGTGGTGCAGTGACTCTGGTGCGCGTCTCTGGCGTGCTTTGGACCAAACGCACCCAAAAAACATATCTTATCGTGTGTTCTCTTGCCGCTCCTGCTTGCAAAAGCATGGGTCGGCAAATAAATGCAAAGAACCAGTTAGGGTCAGGGTGCTGTAGTCACGCCGCTGGACTTTGAAAACTGACACGTTTTTCACGTGGGTCTTTGTCGCTTTCTAGAATGTGGGGGAGAAGTCCCCAAACGATGACAATGTGATCAAACATCATCAAACCGAATGTGTGAAACATGAGGAATTCCCAGGGCCACGTAGGCACCACCATGCCAACAACATCACAACAGTGTCAAAGACAAGAAACATAGCCAAGACTCACAATTCACAACATCAACAGCACCCGCGGACCACCAGCACCAGCACAAAAAATAGAATATATAGATCAGCAAAAGCAAAAGCACCAACAGCAACAGCGATCATAATGCTCAACCATAACCTACAACCAAACAACACATTCCACAGCGAACGACCAACAACCGGCGACCAGAAACCAGCTCAGGTCCTACGACCAATGTCTACACACAATAGGCCTCTTCTTCTTCTTCTTCAGCTGTTCGTGGGCCGGATAGAACGGAGGCTGCCCTTCCAGATGGTCTTTTCGGTGCGCGGAGCTGATCAATAAAGCGGCGTCCAATCAGGAATTGCTCACCTCAGCTTAGGACAACCGTTTGGGAAGGAGCAAGTTCTTCGTTTGTCGTCCCCTACTTTGGAGATTTTGTGTAGATGAAATGTGCCAGGTGCAGTCACAGCACTGAAGGCTGCAGCAAGCAAAGCCCGCAGTTTGATGCTCTTGGCACACAAAGGCAAAGATGCACAATGGCCGTTGAGAAATGCCAATAGTCGGTCTGGGTGCGAAGTCTCAAAGCTGAACACGTTGCAAGAGTCTCTAACAATCAACCACACGTTGTATCAATTTGGATGCTGGCATGACGGCGCTCGGATACTTTATAATATCGGCAAACCATGCGATAACACCACGGCTTTAAACACTTCTCACACGTCAAACCTTCAGATAAACGGTCCCGTGCCGTTGTAGAGAACAACCACAGCTACTAGTAGTTCAATTCTCGTTTGCACCACCCCACCCTTTATGTTTGCTTGACTCTTGTCCGCTGTTTTAGAGCTTGGTGGTTTCTTGTCTGGACTGTGTTGATGATAGTGCCGAAAGCACACTTCAACCTGTTTTACATGTACATGTTTGTGCCCATTGCCGCAAAACCAATGTCACATGGCTCAATTCAACAAAACCAATGTCACGACATGTGGAAGGTGGTTCAACATTCTCAGTCTCTATATAAAGCCACATCATACAGTACTAGTACGGTCTCAACATCTCACCATTCACCATGTCACACCCTGCCAAGGTGCCAAGATCGTGGCGAATTGTGTCGCGATCTCCGGGAATACTGGAGTCTGGCAACAAGCGGGCACGATCAGCAAGATCTCCAACATTGGCCAAAAAGTCTCGAAACCTGACATGGACGAGACGGACGGGTGAAAGATGGTGCAATTCCTTCTTGGACCTAAGATTGCCTTTTTGTTCATCAAGCTAAGGAAACAAATGCTTCGTCGCTTCGTACATGGGCCTTTTACGGGGAGTACTCAGAGTACTCTTCAATACTCATGAGAAATATTGAGAAATGCCTCATGAGCACCTCTGGGAAGTGTTCAGAGTTTGCTAGGAATCAACGGGGCTTGTGCGGACTCTTTTTTCTGATCTCATACCTATATATGACCTGAGCGAATCTCTCGAAAGTCCTTCTGCGCTTAAAGCCGGGCAAAGTGCTTGAGATGTCTTGAGATAAACTTCCATGCATGAGAAAGATCGGATGCCACCGTGTTGGATGATTTGCGCTACGATTTGTGCATCATGCTGCAATTTACGACCCCTGCATCACCCAGCTCAAAGGGCAGCCCTTGTTGAAGCACGACCACCTCCTTTCTGCCCAACACTACATGGGAGTGCGCTTGCAGTCTCGAGTCTATATAAATGTGCACCCCTTTCTTGTCCCCGCGTATGTTCTGTTCCCTTGCTGGATTTGTTGATGGCAGCAAAGGAAAAAATACATGACACAGTAGTTCAATAATATACTATAACATATGTCATTATTTCATTTGGATTCATTTGGCAGTTTCTAGGCTGCACGATGGCAAAGAACCATCCCTGATCGTCTTCAGGTCTATGTCCTGTCTGATCAGAGCCTACAAATATCAACATTATATACATCAAACTCGTTGTTGGCAACTTGCTCCTTTGTGAGCGGACCCGTTTGGCAAGTGTGCGAAGAAGTTGACAATTGACAGCGGGGACAAAGAGGAAAAAAAAATAATAGACGGTGTTCGGGCCCGTTTAAAGGAAACCTTCTTCAAGGGTCCCAAACATCTTCCTTCTTTCTTTCTGTCCTGCTTTCTTTCTGTCTTGTTCTTTCTGTTCTCTGTGTACAGTAGAATCTGTTTCAGTGTCGACACAGCGAAGCCATCACCACCAGCACCACTGTGGAGTTCTCGCTGCCAAATCCACCGAGAACTCGTCTGTGGGACGCATGTCCAGTCACATGAACTCCCAACAAGCAAAAAGGGGAACCAGCGCTTTCAATCGGCTGAGCGAAATCTGCCACCTACAGATTCTACAAATATCTAGTACAGCTGCAAACAGGTGCCCAGCCAAGATTGTGGGTCAGTATTCATGAAGGCGCTGCTGGGAAGCTGCGATGCTTCTTTGCGATAAACTCTTGGTGCTCACGCGATACGTCAAGTTTTCGCACAGTGTTCGCATAACTTTCGTGTCATTTCGCATGTTCATAACAGCCGCTTTTGGGACAAATCTGGCACCTTCGAGGGTGCACATTCGCATTCTTCGAAATGCTGTCTATGGCGGTCACAAAGTCAGGTCTGCCTCGACAAAGCAATTACGATCAACATCGATCAACCAAATCTACAGACTCTACATTACATGTACCGAAACATGCAAAAACAGTTCAACGTCAAGGATCTTGTCTTGGCATCCATTCACATCCAATACTGCTGCTTAACGTTATTGTACTGTCCTTTTTGACACGCGTGTCCAAATAGGACTGCTCGCCTGCCACCTGTGACTTGGAAAGCTTCTCAAAGTTCATGACCCAGTATGCGAAAAGCCGCAACAACCTTAACAATTGTCCAGGCTAGACCTTGAGGAACCTGTTTGTGGTTTTACTTATTGCGCAAAAAAGCTGGGTTTGTTAGCTGCATAGAGAATTACAAAGCATTTGATTCCAGATAACGATACGACTAGTAGATACTAGTAGTAATCAGAGATTCTCTTGGTCTCTCTACACTGTTTTGGTGTCACTATACCTTGTGGTTTGTGTTCTTTCACGACGTCGTGGTGTTGGTCTCATGTTTCTGTATGTAGGTATGTATGCATGCATGTATGCATGCATGTATGTATGTATGGATGGATGCATGTATCCATGTCTGCATGTATGCATGTACGCATGTGTGCATGTATGGATGGATGTATGGATGTATGGATGGATGTATGGATGTATGGCATTTTTCCCGAGTGTGAAAGTATGCAAGTGTAAGTATGTCAGTATGTAAGTGTAATGATGCAAGTGCAATGATGAGCATGCAAGCATGCAATGAGTAGGCAAGCATGTAATGAGTATGCAAGCATGCAATGAGTAGGCAAGTGTGAGCATGGAAAACTAGCACGGGAGATGTCCTAATGAAAAAACATTTCCCCACTTTATAAATTCTCTCTTAAAGGCGGAGGGTGGGACGAACAGCGTCAACCGAAAGTGCAACCCTCTGCGGAGATCGTGCGCGTCGAGTGCGCGAAATGCAGGCGAGAGTGCGATTTGCAACCTGCGCGCGCAACCCTCTGCGGAGATCGTGCGCGTCGAGTGCGCGAAATGCAGGCGAGAGCGCGATTTGTGAAATTACCGCGCAACCCTCTGCGGAGATCGTGTGTGTTGAGTGCGCGAGATGCAGGCGAGAGCGCGATTTGTGAAATTACCGCGCAACCCTCTGCGGAGATCGTGCGTGTCGAGTGCGCGAAATGCAGGCGAGAGCGCGATTCGTCCGGTGCGCGCGAAACCCTCTGCGGAGATCGTGCGTGTCGAGTGCGCAAAATGCAGGCGAGAGCGCGATTTGTGAAATTACCACGCAACCCTCTGCGGAGATCGTGTGTGTTGAGTGCGCGAAATGCAGGCGAGAGCGCGATTTGTGAAATTACCACGCAACCCTCTGCGGAGATCGTGCGCGTCGAGTGCGCGAAATGCAGGCGAGAGCGCGATTTGTGAAAGTACCGCGCAACCCTCTGCGGAGATTGCGCCTTTCTAGTGAGAACTTTAGTACGCGGAGCAATCTGTGGAGCTGCAAGCTGACAACTGGCGACTTTGTAGGACAACTTTAGTACGCGGAGTAGCCGAGAACTGGCGACTTGGTAGTACAACGTTAGTACGCGGAGTAGCTGGGGAGTGGGAAGATGAGAACTGGCGACTCTGTAGTACAACTGTAGTACGCGGAGTAGCTGGGGAGTTGGAAGATGAGAACTGGTGACTTTGTAGTACAACTTTAGTACGCGGACTAGCCGGGGAGCTGGAAGATGAGAACTGGCGACTTTGTAGTACAACGCGGAGCAATCTGTGGAGCTGGAAGCTGAGAACTGGCGACTTTGTAGTAGAACTTTAGTACGCGGAGTAGCTGTGGAGCTGGAAGCTGAGAACTGGCGAGTTTCTAGTACAACTGTAGCAGCGGAGCAAGCTGTGGAGCTGGAAGCTGAGAACTGGCGACTTTGTAGTACAACTTTAGTACGCGGAGTATCCGGGGAGCTGGAAGATGAGAACTGGCGACTTGGTAGTACAACTTGAGTACGCGGAGTATCTGGGGAGTTGGAAGATGAGAACTGGCGACCTGGTAGTAGAACTTTTTAGTACGCGACCTTATCTGTCTGTCGACCATGCCAGCGTCTTGGGCGGTCGTGGGAAGCGGCCCGCGCCGCAAATACCACACCGCCCGATTGCATCGAACTCAGCGGCTACCACGACCAGACTGGCAGGTTTGTTCAAGTGGACCCACCGCTCCGCATCCCACTGGCGGACGTGTTACCAGATGGCACCCTCGACGCCGCCCAGTTGGCCCAGATGGTCGCCGCCGTGTCTCCGGAGCGGACAACGCAGTGAGAGTCTCCCCGACGCAGGGTGTCACCTAGATGTTCACACGGTAACCAACTGCATGTCTCATACCATGAATTCTTCCTCACAAATCCTGTGTGGACGTCGTTTTGCGGAGCACAACAAGTACTAGACATAGTGTCGGGGAGTTTCTTCCATATACAAGGGCTAGTCGCGAGCTGAACGGCCAGAGCACACTAAAACATGCGCAGTGCCTGCTGCGTGTCACCTCGCGCTACTTTGTTGCATGTTTCTGTAGGAGAGGCGATTAGAAAATGAGCAGCATAGTGGTTCTTAACTACATCTAGAGCGAAGCACATGTCACCCTCAGAGCGCCTGCGCCAACAGACAGTGCATTTTCCGTGGCTGACCTTTCGGTGCTCACAGTGACATTGCAGAAGTCTCCATACAACTTGCGCCAACTACCAAAATATCAACTCAACAGCAGTGACGCATATACTTGCAAGAAGTTTCACGCACCCCACAAGCTTTTGCAATATTCATATCGCACATGAACCTTTACAACGCAAACAGAGCCTTCTTATGGCTACGCATGCGCTATTTACTAGTTTGCAGCCCACTAGCTCGTAGGTCTGCCTCTTTGCCCAGCCATCATGCCAGGGACCTTGGCATTGTTGACGACCACTTCTTCAGCGTCAACCAGGACGACCAGAGACAGGTGCGCCTCTGTTGGTCCTATGGAAGCAGGACATACCACGACGACCAGCCAGAGCTCATCCATGAAAGATGGCCAAACCAGTCCATAGCAACCAGACGCTGGGTTGCCCATGGAGAAACCTGGCAGTTTTGGCGAGCGGTCCAGTGGTCCAGTGGATGGGAAGACTGGGTTAGGAACAACAGCCGCAACTTCACAGATGCCTACACCATCATACCGTGACTTCTTCCTGATAAATTCTGTGTGGACGTCGTTCTGCGGAAGCACAACACTATCTTTTCTGTGTACAAAGACTAGTCGCGAGCAGAACAGCGAGAGTACGCTAAAACATCTACAGTGCCTGCTGTGTGTCACCTCACGCTACTTTGTCGCGTTTTTCTTTGAGACAGTCAATTAATCAATGACAAGCATAGTGGTTGGTTAACTACATCCTAGAAAAGCTGTGTCCTGGAGTGAAGTAAACGTTTTTGCCCGGAAGATATATATCGATGGACGCATCTCCTCTGACAGGTCACTGCTTCGAGACGCTTCTGGCGTGGCTGCCTCAGCAGTTTCTGTGTTCATTCCAGCTCGGTTTTTTCAGTGAGATTCCCTGCAGCGGTGCACGCTGCTTCTCCCCTTACCAGCAGCTCACATGCTCACGACGATGAGCTGGGCTGTCACCGCTTGGCCGCCGGTGGGGGTTTGGG